TGGACTGTGAGCATCATAATAATACTAGTAAAAACATTCCAGCATATATATCTCATTTGCTGTGACATATTGTGTTTTTGTGTCAACAACAACAACAACAGCAACAATAATAAAGTAATTCTATCTTCCTGCCTGGCAGAAGGGGGCTGGACTGGATGCCCTTGAGGGGCCTCTTCCAACTCTGTGAGACTAATAATAATAATAATAATAATAATAATAATAATAATAAATCCAGCATATATATCTCATTTGCTGTGACATACTGTGTTTTTGTGTCAATAATAATAATAATAATAATAATAATAATTATTATTATTATTATTATTATCCGGCTCCGGCGGGTCCAGCTCCGGCGTTGGGCCTCCGTCACCACCTGGGCCGCCGGCCGACCGGGCCGAGGTGAGCTCCCTCCCTCCGCTGGGGCCGCCGGGCCTCGTCGCTGGGCCACTGGGCTCGTTGTTAGGACCTGAGGGCCTCTAGGCCTGCAACTCTTATTATTTATTATTGGCTACCATTATATGAGCTTGACCATCGGCCGCCATTTGGGACTGGGTTGTCATCGTTCATGCTATTGCCTTAGGTCCGGAAGAAACACCAACTAAGACAGTACCAGACTCTGTTTTTAATCCATTGCTGACCTTTACGATTGATCGTGTGGACCGTCTTTTGCTGTGTTAGCCATCTGTGTTGTGTGATCCCTTCCGTTGATGTCATCACTGATTATGCTGACTATTCTCAGTGTGACTGATGTGAGATACTAATTGCTTGTTGATGAGTAACTGAAGTGCATAACTATCAGGGTGTTTAGTACTTTAGCACTTTTGCACTTTATTTTGTTCAGCACTTTACCATCTGTGTGGCGATTAGATCGCTATCCACTGAGCCCAGCACTTTAGTGTTAACCAACCATCTAGCATTAAGTCCTCCATGATGCACTTTATTTAGCACCTTAGAGTTGACTGCTATACTGCTTGCACTTTAAAAACGGATTTAATAGCTTTATCCATGTCACGACCCATTCCTTGGCACTTGTTATTATTGTTGCTAATTGTTTACGATAGAGAGAAGGAATGGAGCAGACCTGAAAGATCTTACCTGTAACTGTAGTTTCCTGAGTAGTCACCTGTGAATTCGTACATTTGGTATCTGAGCGCATGCGCAGTACAGCTTTCGGAACCTTCTAGATAAAAATATAACAATTTTAGAGCCCACTAGCCCCGCCCCCCCTCCCCTCGAGTATAAGTAGCCCGAGGGCGGGGCTAGCCAGCAGTTCTCTTCCGCCGCAAAGCAGCCAGAAGGTGTGGCATGACCCGAGGGGAGGACGGGCGGGTATGTACGAATTCACAGGTGACTACTCAGGAAACTACAGTTACAGGTAAGCAACTTATAATTTCCTGTCGTAGTCACTGTGAATCGTACATTTGGTAGAATAGCGAGCTAACTAACCATGGACGGTGGGCGTCATGCCACAGCCGAAAACAAGACTGTTCTTCCAAACTGAGCCTCACGCCTGGAAACGACGTCCAACTTATAATGGGTCACAAACGAATGAGGTGAAGACCAGATCGCCGCACGACAAATAGTGTCCAAGGGGACCCCCTTCCAGAATGCGGCCGACGTGGCTACTGCCCTCGTGGAATGGCCCCTCACAGGCAGAGGCAGGTCCTTGCCTGCCATGCGGTAGCACAAGCGGACCGTAGACACTATCCAAGACGAAAGTCTCTGAGGCGACACTGGCTGACCCAACACGTCCGCCCGATATTTTACAAACAATTTAGGGGTTCTTCTTAGCGCGGCCGTTCTATCCACATAAAAGGCCAGCGCCCTGCGAACATCTAATAAATGCAAACCCCTTTCTAACTGGGTCGTAGGGCTCTGAAAAAAAGAAGGAAGAATCAAATCCTGAGAAGTATGGAACTGAGTTGAAACCTTTGGGAGGAAGGCGATGTCTGTCCGTAGTACCGCCTTGTCTCTATGAAACTTAAGGTAAGGCGGGTCAACCCTTAGGGCACAGAGTTCACTAGATCGGCGGGCCGATGTAATGGCCACTAAAAAGGCCGTCTTCCATGAAAGACAGGACAGGCTTGCTGATGCCAGAGGTTCGAAAGGGGCTCTCATCAACGTATTAAGAACAAGCTCCAAACTCCAAGAAGGAACTATCGGGGACACAGGAGGCCTAGTGTTCTTAAGTCCCCTTAAAAACGACTTAACAACAGGGTCTAAAAAACAGGAAGGAAGGCCCACTTTTTGCCTAAACCAGGAAATGGAGGCCAGGTAACACTTCAACGACGGAAACGATAAACCAGCGTCCAACAGAGACGCTAGAAAGTCCAACACTACCGAGATGGGGGCCGAGTCAGGGAGCACTCCTCGCTGTCTAGCGAAGGAGGAGAAGCGCGCCCACTTGTAGACATAAGAGCGCCTCGTCGATGGTCTGTGCGCTGCTTCAATGATCTGGAGCACCGGTTGCGAGAAACCCAACAGAGGGTCTATGGCGTTGGCAGGATTCGCCATGCCGTCAGCCTCAGTTTGTGTACCTCTGGGTACAACACTTGGCCCCCCTGTGATGTGAGCAGGTCCGTCCTGGGCGGGAGAGGGATGAAGATTCCTCTCGCTAACAACCGCAGGGGTGAGAACCACGGTTGCCTCGGCCACCACGGCGTTACTAGAATACAGTGGGCGTTGTCCCTTTGGATCTTGGCCACAACTCGCAATAGCAGAGGGAAAGGAGGAAAGGCGTAGGTCCTCCGCCCCGTCCATACAAGCGTGAACGCATCTCCTAGACATCTGCCCCCGGTCACGGCCCGCGTCCGTGCACAATAGAGGTGGCATTTTGAATTGAACTGTGTGGCGAACAGGTCGAGTTCTGGTGTGCCCCATGCCAGGAAGAGCCTCCGAGCCTCCTCCAGATTCAGAGACCATTCGTGATTCGCCAGAGGATTTCGACTCAGGGAGTCTGCCAACAAGTTCTGCTCCCCCGGTACGTGCGTCGCTAGGAGATGAATCCCCCTGTCTATGCACCATTCCCAAATTTGGGTCGTAAGGTCCAGGAGTGTCCGCGAACGGGTGCCGCCCTGCTTGTTCAGGTAGTACATTACCGTGGTGTTGTCGGTAAGAATGTGTACTACCTGACCCGCGACGACCCTTTCGAAGGACTTCAGCGCCCTGTCTACGGCCAGCATCTCGAGCGCGTTTATGTGAAGAGCGCTTTCCTCTTCTGACCACGTCCCGTGAGCCACTAGGCCGCTGGTGTGTGCCCCCCACCCCGTGAGGGATGAGTCTGTAGTGACCAATCTTGTGGCGCGAGGGGCGTAAAAGGAAAGTCCCTCGCAGGCCCAGGTTGGATCCATCCAGCACCGCAGGGAAGCTCGGACCCCCTGAGGGGGAAGCAGGCGCATGGCGGGATTGTCCCATAGCGGATTGAAGCTGGAAAGGAACCACGATTGAAGTGGCCGCATCCGAAGTCTGGCGTGGCGGATAACCGTCGTTGTAGACGCCATATGACCCAAGATGACCTGGATATGCCTGGCTGATGTGCTGGGAGATGCAATGAGTCGATTGAGAAGTTCTCGCAGGTTGTCGAACCGGTCCTCGGGGAGAAAAGCCCTCTCGGCAATCGAATCCAGGAGCGCCCCGATGAACTGGATGCGCTGCGATGGTATCAGGACCGACTTCTCCCGGTTGAGTACGAGGCCCAGCGACTGGAGAAGAGACAAAACCGTGGACACGTGATGTTGTAGCAAATCACGAGATCTAGCCACTATCAGCCAGTCGTCAATGTATGGGTACATGGACACGCCCCTCATTCTCAAGTGTGCGGCCACAACCGCCATACACTTTGTGAACACCCGTGGGGCAGCTGAGAGGCCAAAAGGTAGGACATTAAAACAGTATGCTTGACCATTGACCCTAAAGGAGAGAAACCTTCTGTGATGTGGGGCAATGGAGATGTGGAAGTATGCGTCTCGAAGGTCGACGGTCGCAAACCAGGCCCCCCGGAAGAGCAGGGGGGCTATGGAAGCAAGAGTCACCATACGAAATCTTTTGGGCTTAACGTGTTTATTGAGAGCCCTAAGGTCAAGAATCGGACGCATTCCACCACCACGTTTAACAATCAGAAAATATCTAGACAAGAAACAGAACGGAACTGCAGCCGGGTCAACTAGTGAAATAGCCCCTTTTTGTAACAACATTGTTATCTCCTCCATAATCTGTGGGGAGAAGGGTGTGTCCCGAACCAAGCCCACCCTGGGAATGTCTTCAAACTCAATACTATAACCATTGGAAACAATGGACAGAACCCAGGCATCTGTGGTTATGCTTGCCCATTCATCGAAGAAGGGAGCGAGTCTGTCTTTGAACCATAAACAAGGCCCAACGAGGCTGT